CCCCAAAACCCCAAAACCCCAAAACCCCAAAACCCCAAATTTATAGTTTTTAATTGAACATTTCTGAAGCCTCAAAAATAAACAACAATGAAATAGAGAAGAAGAGGATGGAAGAGGCTTTAAGATTAGAAATTTTATTTATCTGAATTTCAAAATTCGTATCTTTAAAAACTATATGCAGAAAATATAGGTTATAAGTTAGTTCTTGAAAGCCTGTCTTGGCCTTCTGAAAGGATGATTATGCGGGGCTCTCTCAGTATCAATGGCAGTATTCTCTCCATACACGTATCAACAGCAAGGAGATGTGCCTTTCTTTACTGAATATTCAGAGCCGATTGGCTTAGAATCTGAGTAAATAGACCTTCCATTGATAAAGCTTTGTCTAACAGCTCTATTCTCTGCAACATTGAAAAAGTTTGACTTGCTTTTGAGCAAATACCTTGATATACTTTTGGTTTTCACCTCTCCCATATTTCATTTATAATTATCAGGCATGAACTTGACTGCCTTCTTGAATGACTTCTCAGTACGTTTCTTATTTTCAGCTAGAGATCTCCTCTTCGTGCATCTCTTATGAGCATTCTTAGGTATTTTTATTACTTTGTTATTTATTTACCAGATTGACTGTTGATTTTGGAATAAATTCAGGAATAAAAGACTCCTCTCTTTCAACTAAATTAAGATCACAATGCTATTTACCTAGCTCTTTCTTTATTTCATTGTCGTATCTTCTTGCATTACTCAGGTCTATCCTTATTTCACGAGTTTTCTTATTACTGGCTTGTGAGCTTGCCCTAAACTTGTTCCTTTCATTCAACGATGCCATTTTTAATCCTAAATTCCGCATTAAACTACTATATTTGACTATTTTATCTCAAAATTCTCCTTCAATTGTGGCAAGCAGCACTCTGAACCCACTAATATGTACATTGAAGGCCCAATACTTCTACCGAAATCTTTTTTATTTGTTTGGGAATGTACCCAAACCATTACCTATTAAAATTTATCTTATTAATATTGCACAATTTCAATACGTTAAAAAGTTGAAGGGGTTTTGGGGTTTTGGGGTTTTGGGG